CAATAAACTCACACGCATTCATGCATGCATCGAGGGGAGGAGAAGAAGACACACACACACACACACAGAGAGAGAGAGAGAAATAGAAAGAGAGTAAGTACGTGGAAGCCAAATGAAATTAAATAGACCCCTCCTTTCCACGCGCTTCCATTTCCGTCCTTTATTCCTAATTCGTTCATTAACTTTCTTTTTTCTTTTTCTTCTTATTCCCTAATTCGTTGCTGCATACAATACCATCCCATCCCATCCTTCTCCTGCTTGCACGTAAGAAACAACAACCTCCGAATTAACGTAATGACAGAGAGGAAGACATGCGGGGTCAACCCCCCTTTTGCGTCCTACAAAATAATCCCCTCCCCCTCCCCCTCTCCGCAAAAATACTACTAACACTCTCGTTTTTTTTTTTGTTTTTTTGGTTTGTTTCTTTAATGCATGTAGAAAACACTCTTCCCGCATCACGTGTGTTTCCGTTGTTTCGCACAAACATTGTACTCCGACCCCCCCCACAACCCCCGCACACACAAACACAATTGATAATAAGCAAGAATTAATGTAAGATTGATGCACGCATGTGTACAAAAAGAAGAAAACATTTGACTCCCAAAGAAAACGGCGTGGAAGAAAAAGACAGTAATATAAACAAAAACAACAACAACCAAAAAGAGAGCAAAAAACAAAATTCACCAACAACCGCATCATCTTATAAAGAGAAAGAAGGAAGCGCCACACATGGGAGTAAAAAGCCCATGTATCCGCCTCCCATTCTTACATAAACACACACACACACACACACGCAGAGAGAGAGCGAGAGGGATAGAGAGATAGGTGGGTAGATAGATCAAGAACAACTCCCGTCCCCGTATTCAATTCCTCCCTTTCATTCTCTAGTCGGTATGCAGTTCACATGTGTCAGCCACGCCTCCTGCTCGCCCTGCATGTCGGCGTGCTGCAGCCCCCACCTCACCGCCTTCTCTTTGCAATACATTCATTCCACCACGGAATCAGCCCAGCGCAGATAACCCAGACGAGAAAAACGTCTTTTTTCAAATAAACAATTGGAAAAAAAAAAAAAAAAAAAAAAAAGAAAAGAAAAGAAAAGAAAAGAAAAAGAAAAAAAAAAAAAAAAATGACAAGGAGAAGCAATAATTAAAAAAAAAAAAAAAAATATGAAAAGAAAAGAAGAGCCACGGCGCAAAGACAACGCGTTCTGAGAAAAAACAGCAAAAAATGCATTACATTTTTTTTTTGGGGTTCTGTACATCTGCCACTCAATGCCGTTTCCAAATTGGCGTAAATAAAGAGGTGCCAAAAGCGGGCTTTGGCCTGCCGTCTCTGCCCCCGCCAAAGGTGGTTGAGTGAGTAAATGGGTTCTTTTTTCTCTCTTTTCTTTCCAAGGAAATAACTCGCTCTCGCCAGCAGTCAGAAGCAAAAATAGACAAACAATTATATTATAAAGAGAAGGTTTAGTTTATTTTATTTCACTTCTTTTTTTTTTTTTTTTT